ACCGATTAGACAATCCTCTCTGCCTCAACAAGACACTCCATTTTATAATCCTCTTTTGTTTAGACAACTAATGGGATCACTACAGTCCCTTACCGTCATAAGACCGAACATTTCATATGCTGTAAACAAGTCATGTCAATACATGCACTCCCCTACCACATCACATTATCAACAATTAACTAATCTGTTGTGGTATCTATGAAGCACAAGCCACTTTGGCATGGAAATAAAACCCAACAATCTCAATCTTCGAACCTATACTGATGTTGCTTGGGCTGGAGATCAATCAGATCGAAAGTCCACCACTGGAGTGTGCTCATTCCTTGGTGCCACTCTCATATCATGGATGGTTAGGAAACAATTTACAGTTGCAAGGTCATCTAGGGAGGCCAAGTATTGTGCCTTAGCAACAACTAAGACAGAGGTAATATGGCTTAGGAGAATATTGAAAGAATTTGGCATCAAACTTATACAACCTACTTCTGTACATTGTGACAAGATATCTGCTATATCTCTAGCCAACAACCCAATCTTTCATGCACAAACCAAACATATCGAGATTGACTTATGATCCATCAACTCCAACCAGATTCAGCTAGAATATATTCAATCCCAGGATCAGCCGGCACATATACTTACCAAAGCTCTATCAAAATGACATTTTCATGAACTTCGTAACAAACATAAGGTTCTACCGAGAATGATCAGTTTGCAGGGGGCATTGGCAGTGACAATAACAAGCTCAACTAAGCTCACCTGAGGTCACTAGAATCATATAACTAACAATAGCTTTTCTAGAATGTTCACCTTTTTTTTCTTGTCTATTATATATATGCATAAAGTCTGCTGTGTAAAGGTGTAGAGGAAATTATCTGTAAAACCATATTTTTTGCGTCTCACGGCAATGGCACAGGCCTTCCTTCTATAGTAGATCTTTATTTAGGACCACTTTTGATGAAGAGTAAAGGCCAACATGCAATGATTCTAAGAGCTGGGAAGGGCCGCCAATTAAGGAGAGTGAAAAATAAACAGAATTGGATTGGTTTCTATTGCAAGAATCAAGCTCTTTATTAAACAAATGTAAGAGTAATTTAATTCAAGTCTTTCATATCATTTATTAAACTAACTACACCAGTCAAGAGGAATCTTATCCTTATTAAACCAACTCCATAAAATAAGAAAGCTCAAATTTAAATTCAAAATACAATCTTATCTAAAATAAAGTAAAAACTAAAAGTTGCATTTCCAGCTAATGTTCCAAATTGTATACATCTTTATCATGATATGCAAGCATTCAATCAACAACCCATCACCTTTCTTCTCCTATGGACTCCTTTTGAATTGATTATCAATCTCAATTGTTTGATACGGGTATCAACACATATGACAATCTGCACCTAGGTATGGGTTTGTTTAAATTTCAATGATCATAGTACTTTTGACCTTTTGATGATTCGATTTCCCATTCATGATTCTATACGATCTTATTAATCATTCATTAGAGCTAATTCCCAAGTCATAGGTTTCCCTTTTTAGGATGGTTTTAACTCGTGAAATTTTTACTCTATTTGAGGGAAGGTTGTCATTTGCATTCCATTCACAAGAATTACACATTGAATTTCGTTTACAAGATTTGAAAGTGGAAAGAAAAAATAAATTGAACCCAAAAGTTTATATTCCATGCATCATACCACTATTTATAGACTTCACGTAGCCTCGGGAAGTAGATAATAGATTGGCACAGGGACAATCCTAATTTTATAATTAAGATGATTCCAATTTAAATTACATAATCATCAAACAATGTTCAATGAATTTTAAATTTCAAATTCAATCAAGCATTCCACTTGTTCTTGTAGCTCCCATCATCAAGAAGGGATAAAACTGCAACATGCAATAACTGTCTTTATGTCAGCCTGTTGGTCGCACCATCTCCAAGATAAAACACCTTTATTTAAACAGGGAATCAGTTCAAAAAAGTAAATCCAAACCCCCTACCTCATTCAAGCGCAATTGACGCCTAGTCCAAGACTAAAAGCTTTGACTTGAAAAAAGACTATGGACTCAAATTTAATGTATAATTCAAAACTTACAGCCTAACACAGATAGCCAAAGAAAATCAAAAGCTTCAATCACCATGCATATCATAACATATCCTTCGGTGGTTATAAGCATATATCCTAAGAGCATAAAGAAAATGAATGAATTAATGTAGTACGCACAGTATGATATAATGATAAAATTTAAAAGCTGAAGCATTGTTGATCTATCAAGATGGGTTGCAAAGTGAGGCATGTAGATTTTTTAGTGGATCTATACTTCATGTTGGATAATATGGCTAGTTAATTTATGGAAATTGCCATAAAAGCTTTAAGAGATTCTAAGTACATAACGAGACTTGTTGGTGGGGTGAAGATGTAAAAGTGATACAGGACAACTTAGGTTTACGGTTTTCTAATACAAGTAATGTCATATAGCATTCCATGCAAAGAAAAATTGAGAATTTATAGATCTAAAGTTGAAAGTTAATCCAACAACTCTCTTTACCTGAAAACATGCGGTACTCTTCTTTGTGCCCATTTTATAATGAAATGATTGCAATAATATGAGAATTTTTGGAAGAACTTTGAAACAAATAAAAATCATTGAGCGAACAAATTAATTTTCACAAGTTATATATTCAATGTATCTAATTTTAACTAAAGTCATTTGTAGAGAACAATAACAATGACAACAACAAAAACAAGAAGTCTTTATCCCTGTAAGTGGGGTTGGCTACATAAATTCTTTTTCTCCATGGCGTCCTATTGAGTGTCATTTTTTCATTAATTCTATTAGATTAAGATCATTTTTTGTAAAATATGTTTAAGTCTTTTTAATAGATTAACCCATGACCTTTGCCTATTTTAACATAGATCGAATCTAAAATATCTACTCTCCTAACAGGATCATCAGATGGTCGATGTCAAGCCCTCATCTACCTAAGTATTCTTATCTCAATAACACTTTGTTTCATGCTTCTCTTTTAAAGGCCAATATTCCGCGACATAGAACCTTGCACGTCTCACCATCGTCTTATATAACTTCCCTTTCAATCTAAGCAATACTTTTCTATCACACAATAGGCTTGATGCATTCCCCCACTTCAACCAAGCAACTTGTATTCTACTAATAGCATCTCCATCTATATCACCATCAGTTTGAACTATAGACCCGAGATATCTAAAACGATTACACCTTTTAATGATTTGACCACTTATAGTAACAACTCTGCCAGTAGAGCTACTCTACTACTACTAAAATTACATTTAAAATTACATTTCATGTATTTAGTTTTAGATCAACTCAAACGAAGGCCCCTTTAAACTCCAATGTAGAGTTGTAGACCTCCATAATTCAAGTTTTTCTTGAACTCTTTCTCTAGTCTTATCCACAAGGAAGGAGATTATCAGCAAAAAACATACACTAAGGTACATCCTCGTGTAAATGTGTAGTAAATAAGGGAATAATAATTTAAATAGAAGGAATAAAAAAAGATTATAATTATCAGAGTAGAGAAAAATCAGTTCTAATTGCTAGTAACAGGAGATGACTTCTAAAGTTAAGTTGTTGCATTGGTACTACGTCTAACTGAGTTACACATCATAAATTTTATTTTTGCTACATGGTATGAATTACATGTCTTATGCCTCAAGCCAATGAATTTCTTATAACCTAATTTAGAATATAAGTTTGGGTCATGATCAATTTGAATTTAAATTTAGTTTAAGCCTATTTCAATATAAATTTCCAAATCACTCGAACCCAGTCATCCAACCAATGTGTGGGTTGAATTTATACTAATCTCAATTTATTAAAGGTTGACAAAGACATCAAATTAATAGTAGCTCCTAAGTCACATGATGTCTTTCCAAAAAATGTCTCTTATACTGCAAGATATGGTAAAACTCCTTGGGGCTTAGACTTAAAAAACAAAATTCTCATGCATGGGAGTAGAACCATCCACATTACACACAAGCGTCTCAGGCCCTGTGGAACCTTCTGATGCCTACGGTAATATAAGGCGCAAATCTCACACCCGCTAGACACGCTAGACACTCCCAAATCCGCAGTCGTATATTTCAAAAAAAAAAAAAAAAAAAACCCCATAGATGCAACCATTTAAGCATTGCAACTCATGGTTCACAAGCAAACATTTCCTTTTCCTTGAATGAATAAGTTCAAAACTAGAGCTTGATACCAACTCAGCTGCAGCATTAATCTCCAAATATTCTAAATAGTACGACGATAGCCTTCTCAATCTTTTATAGGAGTCAACCTAAACTTAGTCAATGCAAACTGACTAAAATTAGGAAATACAACCTTTCTGGGCCAATACAACCTTTATTAGCCATCATCATTAGCAAAATAATAATAACAAGTAAAATAACCTAACTACTAGAGAAAACTAATCAATGAAAGAAAGTACACAAACTGCACAAAATTAATGTTTGATGTCATATTTTTGACAAGAAAACATGAAGGTTTTCATGAAAAAGGTCTGGGTATTATTTTGACATTTTTGTCTTGTAAAAAGTTTGGGGATTATTTTGACATTTTGTCTATACCCAATTAATTTTTTCACAACTATGTGCTTGTTTATCAGTGCAACGATGGCCATATACGATGTGGTTCAGCTCGTGAGAGCTGATGTATCGACAGTCGCACTCGGAATCGCCGCCTCCACGTCATCCATCATCCTCGGCGGTGGAGCGAAGGGAAAACGTCTAGCGATGCCGAATACACGAATAATGCTCCATCAGCCTCTCGGCGGAGCCAGCGGTCAGGCCATTGATGTCGAGATCCAGGCCAGAGAAATCATGCACAATAAAGACAATATCACAAGAATAATCTCGAGCTTTACAGGACGACCCTTCGAGCAAGTTCAGAAAGATATTGATAGAGATCGTTATATGTCACCCATAGAGGCCGTTGAATACGGTATTATCGACGGTGTTATTGACCGAGATTCTATCATTCAGTTGTTACCTGTCCCAGAGAAAGTCAAGCCAAAGTACAGCTATGAGGAGATTAGTAAGGATCCCAGAAAATTTTTAACCCCGGAGGTTCCTGATGATGAGATATATTAGCCGAGGACCATCCTACACCTGGTACTTTTTCACTTCGTCTATTTTGCTGCTTTTTCTTATTGTTGTAATTTAACCTTGTTGTTTTATTATGGACTTTATTTGGCAAAGCTGTTAGGGGAAATTTACAAACGCAGCACACAAGTCATATGTATTTACATATCTTAAACCTAAACTTTTATATTTTCACATGTTAGTGTTTTAAAGCTATGCATAAAAAAGATGCATTTGACTTTAAAAAAAATGATAATAGTACTATTTTTAATGTGATATTAAAGATTTGAGTTCTATGTGTGTAATATGAAAGTTTAGGTGTGAGATATGTAAATACATAAGAATTTTGTACTATGTATGTAAATGTCGCTAATCTTTTATTGATCTTAATGAAGAGATTATTATGTTGCTATTTATCTGCACATTACTTCAATAACACTTTGTGGCTTGATATTATTGAAGAAAAACTTGAGAGGGAATTTTCAAAATTCCTATTAGTCAATCTCAAGCCTAAGATTACATATATAGGTAAATCGGTCCCCCATAATTTACAATCTTTTATATCTAGCCTAAACATGCAGAACAAAGTTTATTCCACTAAGTGGGGTCGGCTACATGAATCCTTTTTCTCCACTGTGCCTTATTGTGTGTCAAATTTTCATTTCATTTTATTAAATTAAGATCATTTTTAATACAAATATGCCCAAGTCTTTTCAGGTCTATCACAATCTTTCTTAACAGAAGTCAAATCTGAATCATCTAGTCTCCTAACTGGATCATCAGATTGTCAACGTTTAATGTGACCAAACAATCTAAGGCGAATCTTTCTAATCTTGGCCACCACGGGAGCTACATCTACTCTTTCACGGATATATTCATTTCACATTTTGTCTCTAAGATCATCAACTTAAGCATTATCATTTTAACAACACTTAACTTTGTTTTATGATTCTCTTTTAAAGGCCAATATTTTGCACCATAAAGCATTGCAAGTCTCACCACCCTCTTATAAAATTTTCCTTTAGGTCTAAGGGGTATTTTTCTATAACAAAGTAGGCCCGATGCATTCCTCCAATTAAACAAACCAACTTGAATTCTACTAATAACATCCCCATCACTTTGAATAATAGATCTGAGATATCTTAATAGATCTGAGATATCTAAAAGATATCTAAAATGTTCACACCTGTAAATGATTTGATGACCCATAGTTACAACTCTGCACTAGAGCTACCACACTAAAATTACATTCCATGCATTCAGCTTTAGATCTACTCAAACGAAGGTCTTTAGACTTCAATGTTGACCTCTGTAATTCAAGTATTTCCTGAACTCTTTCTTTGGTTTTATTCACAAGAAGGATATTATTAGCGAAAAACATACACTAAGATATATCCTCTTGTAAATGACTAGCAAGAACATCCAAAACTCAAGCAAAAGGACATGAACTTAAAGCTGATCCCTAATGTAATCCAACTGAAATAGGAAAATACTTGGTCAAATTCTTTTCTGCTAAAAAACAACCAGCAACTATTGTATAAATATCTTTAAGAACTCTCCAAAGGACTTCTTTTTGAACCTTATCGTAAGTTTTTCTCTGAATCAATAAAATTGATATGAAAATCCTCCTTACTCTCTTTGTAATTCTCCATCAAACCTCTCAATAAATGTATAGCTTCCATGGTATGTTTTCTGAAATAAATCCAAACTGATTATGGGAAATCATTGTAACACATTTTAACCTATGTTTAAATACCCTCTCCCATAATTTTAAATTATGACACATTAACTTAATTCCTCTTAATTCCTTTATAATTTGCAATTTGCACACTCTTGTGCATCCCCTTTATTCTTAAAAACGAGGACCAAAGTACTTTTTCTACACTCAGACATATTTTAGTTTTAAAATAATATTATAATATTATAATATCTAGCCTAAACATGGAAAGAAATAATCCTAAAATAATCATAAATAGAAAGAGAATAAAAAAACCAATGATTTCCTAAATTCTCTCCAATTAATAAGGAGGTATATGCTCCTATATTTCCACAACCCCCCTCAAGCTGGGTTGTAGACGTTGTAGAGGCCAAACTTAGTATTAAATTTTGAGAAGTTGCTTAACAAAAAAACTATAGTGAAGACATCAACAACTTGTTGGTGTATCGTGATATAACTTAATTGTAAAATTTTTCAGTTAAATTGCTTATCAATTTCAATATTTTTTAGTCTTGTCATGATGCATAGTGTTCTTGGCAATACTTATTGTTATTTGAAAATCACAAAATATTTGTATAGGCCTATCGGAGGTGCACCCTAGTTCCCTCAACAATTTCTGAATTCAAGTTCCTTCACAGATTCTTGAGAAAGTGCCCTATATTCTAATTTTGCATTGCTTCTAAAGATAACAACTTGCTTTTTAATTTTCCATGTGACCAGATTTTTCTATACATAGGAGCAATAACCTGTGATTTACCTTTAATCAGTGAGTTTCCAGCCCAAATTCCATCAATTTAGACTTCTACTTCTCTGTTTTAATTCTCTGAAGCAATAATTCATAACCACGAGTCTTCTTGAGAAATCATGTTCTTGTACACCATCTCCAAAGCTCTTTAATTGGGTCATTCATATGTTAGCTCACAATATTGATAGAGTATGCAATATCTAGTATAATATGTGACAAACAGATAAATTTTCCTACCAATCTTTGATATCTTCCCTTATCCACAGATATATTTTCTTCTCCCCTATTAGGGTTCTTATTGGGATTCATTTGAGTATTGATATGTTTGCATCTAATCATCTCCGTCTCCTTTCGCAAATTTAGGATGTATTTTCTTTGTCATATAACAATGCCCTTGTTAGACTTTATTACCTTCATATTCCAGAAATATTTCATGGTTCATTGGTCCTTGCTTCAAACTCAGTGGCAAATATTTTTTTGATTTTAAGAAATTCTCTTTTATTATTATCAGTAAGATTCATATCATCCACATATGCTATCAATGCAACAATTTTTACCTCTCTAAGTGTGTTTGATAAATAATACATGATCGACTTGGCATTGAGAATATCCATTAAATCTTCTAGTTATAGCAAATTTTTTAAACCATGCCCTGGGTGACTCTTTAAGACCATAAAGTGATTTTCTGAGTTTGCATACTATGCGTGTTGAAAGTATTCTCAAGCCCTGGTGGTATCTCTGTACTCTTTGAGTTCCCAATTCAAGAAGATATTTTTAATGTCAAGTTGATGTAACCCCCATTCCTTGTTGACTACTACTAAGAAGAGAAATTTTATAGTCTCTAGTTTGGCAATTGTTGTAAAAGTGCCTTGATGTCAATCCCATAGACTTGAGTGACACCTTTTGCAATTAGTCTCGCTTTGAATCTCCTAATGCCATCGTAAGCTCTGTACTTGATGTTGAATACCCATTTGCATCCAACCAGCTTCTTATTTTGAGGAAACTTACTAAGAGTCCATGTGTCATTATGCTTTAGTACTTGAATCTCCTTTTTATCTGCTTTCCTTCATTTTGGAATTTTAAGAGCTTAATGAATGAGTTTAGGAATCTTTTCACTATCAAGATTAGATACAAAAGCTTTATAGGAATCTTAAGAGCTTTATGCTTCATGAATGAGTTTAGGAATCTTTTCACTATCAAGATTAGGTACAAAAGCTTTATAGTGTGCGAATAACTTTCCATAAACTATCTACTGGATATTTAGTATAACTTTTATTGTCATCAACACTAGAAGAACAAGGAGATAACTCATGAGTTCTAGATTTCTCCTCACTCGAAATTTCAGGTGAGTGTGGACTCTGCTTTTGGTTTGAGCAATTTTATTTTTGCAAGTTGTCTTCTACCTGCAAGGTTTTTCTACCTCGTGTACACATGAAGTTCTTTATGGGTTAATTGGACATTCTCTAGTGTGATAGTTTCATGCACTGTTTGGGAGATATAATGGGTGAGGTGGAAGAAAGATAGGTTATGAGACAATGTAGGTATCATTAAGCGCATCCCAAATTTGGGATAGTAGAATTGATTTTCAAAAAACATGACATTTATGAAAAGTAGCAAATGGGCTATTGGTGGGAACTTTGGCCAACAAAGAGAGGAAGATTTCGGGAAGGTCGGACAACGGAAAGGGGAAACTTGCAGGAAGCTAGTTGAGGAGGACCTGCAACAGGGATGATTTCAGTTGCAAGTTGGAGTAGAGGTGTTGCAGGGAGGATTTCAGTTGAGGACCTGGAATAGGGAGAATTACGGATGCATGGAAGATTTCAGCCGAAATGAGGGCCTGCAGGCCGTTGAAGGGATTTCAACTTCTGTTGGAGGGAGATGGGGTTTGTTTTCAAGCTCTTGATAATATGAAGAAAAACTTGAGAGGGAGTTCTAAGAATTCTTATTATTCAATCTTCAACTCTAATGCTACATATATATGGGTAAACAGACCCCTTCTAGTCTACAATCTTATCAAATATTTCTAGCTTAAATGTTAAAATGAAATAATTCTCGGGAAATAAACATAAATTGGAAGAGCATAAAACTAAACAAGGAGTTTTCCAACTTATCTCCAATTAATAAGGAGCGCGACCCTCCTATATTTCCACAATTATGAATTTTGCAGCTCTCTATAGGTGTCGAGTCGATTATTACATAGAAGAATTTACATTCATGCCACCCAATTCTTATGTATTTACATATCAAAATTATATGCATGAAAAGGTGTATGTAATTTCAAAATGTTAGTGATGGTGATATTTTTAATGTGATGTCAAAGATTTGAGGGATAAGTATGCAAATATGAAAGTTTAGATGTTAGATAAGTAAATATATAGAAATTTTAAATTTTATTTTATATATATATAAATGCATAAGAATTCCTGCATATGTTAAAAATACTTGAAATGATAAAGAAATTAAGCATTATAAAAAAGAAATGAACTCTCTCTCTCTCTCTCTCTCTCTCTCTCTCTCTCTATATATATATATATAGGAATGGTCAATGACTATTATATGAGTCTCTAGCCACCTGCATGTGTCTAACTATTCGGTGATAGACTTCACTACCGGCAAGTTGACCAACGGAGGATTCAAACCCGTGACCTGAGAGAACTTACGACTTTCAAATAGGCTGTTCTACCAACATGTCACAGCTGACAACACTATATATATATAGTTTAGGATATCTATAATTGGAATTTTAGAGTGTCATTATGTCACGGGTAAATGTGCAGTTGATCTGCATGATTTTAGTAAACGAGAATTTTATTATGATATCTATTAATGTTTAAATATGCCTACATGTTGAAAGGATTATGTAAAATACATAAACTTATTTAATTTGATATCTCTCACAAAACTAAACATATATTTAATATAAATAAAGGCCGCAAAACATCTGGAGATTCCAAGTGTTCCGCAGGCTCATTTTATATTAGTTGCCGGATATATAATCCTTTCAATATGTCGGCATATGCAACATTAACAATTGCCATGACAAATTGTGTACTAAAATCGTACCAAGGGTTTGTGAGGGATGGTCTAGTTTTTTATTTTGTGTTGTTTGGGATAATTATCATTTATCTATGCACTAAATTATCATATCATCAAACATTAAATTCCACTATCTCTTAAATATTTTAATCAACTTAACCCAAAAAATATCCAACCTGTCCATCAGATTCCGAACTCCTTTTCCCAATTTGGTTTATCTCTTAGATTACTATGTGTGTGTGTGTGTGCGTGACCTGTTGTGCGTGACCTGTTGATTGACGGGGATTTACTCCAAGTTCCCTCATGTCACGGGTTCAATCCCCAGCGGTGCTAGGTTCTCGAATATTTAGGCACATGGCAAGAGCTCTCATCATGAGGCTTAGCGCAACTGCACATATATATATAAGTATTATACATTCAAATAAACAATAATCAAGTGGCATGTATCTAAATGGATCCAACTAGTAATACTATCATGTTGGTTTCATTTTTTGTGGGTACTTGGGCTACCTTTTGTTTATAAAGATTAAAATTTAAATATTTTATTGTGTTATTATAAAATAATGACCAAGTCGTGTGTTCGTGTCTCGTATTTTTGAAAGTATGTTTCATATACGTGTCATATGGTGTGTTTTTTCGTGTTTATATCGATACATCCATTATCATTGTGATTTATTATGCCAAATTTAGTTAAGGGTGTAAAGGACTTTTTAAATGCATGTATTTTCTTTGGGTTGTAAATTTTTTCCCATTCAATGAAATTTAATTTTTCAATTTGTTTTTAAATAAATACAAATGTGCATGAATTGGCGGCTCACTACGAGACTTATGTTTAAATTTCATAAAAGTATGATTTATTTGTTTTTTAAAGAATATTATGTTTCTTTATATTATTTTTTATAATATTTTAATAATTAATATTGATAAAAGATGCTTATTAAATGACACATTTTTATATGAATATTGGTTGAAGATTAAATGGATATTAAATAGTTTAAAATACTCTGTAAAACTTGTTAGGTCTCATTTTGTAATGCTAGTAATGCTATTGTTTTGATTAATTTTTTATAATGAATAATTAATTTTTTTAAGAAAAATTATATCTCTTAATATCATTGTAACAATATTTTATTGTTATTTATATATTTGAAACAATTATTAAAATTGTTGATGCTTTCAATGTTTAGGAAATCTGTCTTGCATGTATATGTACACATCTAACAGCTAAATTTTCATATTTAAACGTATGACACTCAAATCTTTAATATCACATAAAAAAAAAAAAAACTATTATCACATTTTAAATGTGAAATACACATTTTTATGCATAGACTTATAATACCAAAGTGTTGTATATATAAAATTTAAAGTTTAGCTGCCAGTTATGTAAATACATAAGAATTATGTTCCATATATATGTATATTTTAGTTCATTTTTAAACCATAACTCGCCATTCTCATCAAATAAGGTCCCATTTGAGTACATAATAAAGCCCCTTTTGAGTGCATAGAATTAAATAGATTGACAAGGTTCATAGGCCATAAATTCAACTTTGGATGACGTACTTCTTATCTTTTGTATAGCTAATTATGCAGTGCACCTCAGGCTAACCCAACTTATAAATAGAGATGGTCGCCATGGGATGCAACAACAACAACAAAACCTTTATCCCACTAAGTGGGGTCGGCTACATGAATCCATTTTCTTCATTGAATCCTATTTAGTGCATATTTTCATTTAATTCTAATAAATTAAGATCTTTTTTTATACAATATGTCCAATGTCATGATTTTTTTGACAAGTTTTGCGCTGGTTGTCGACTACCTAATGCAAGTCTTTAGTTTCCACATCCGGACTTGAGACTGACAATGATAGTGTTTAAGAATTTTTAGATCCTAGAGAAATATATTAAGGTTTTGAGAAGAAAAATTCTTAGAGATTTCATAAGCAACTCAATGTATTATGAGATTAATAAAATCCAAGAGATTCATGTTCTTCTTCCCCGTTGTCTCTCATTCCTGATCCTCGTAAGTAAAATTTTATATATATATATATATATATATAATTGAGCAATCAAATTATAGATAATCCAAGGAAAAATATGATGCTAATAACATAAGGAATACATTTTAATCTATAATTTTATAATGAATTTGCATTTTAATGTGAATAACTACAATTAAATTGAATTTATTTTGATAACTTCCCAAGTGTAGTGAAAAGGCTTTGCATGGTTTCTAGCTTCATCTCCTCTTGCAATCCACATTATACTCTCTTAACATGCAACAACTTTATAACATTAACACATTTATTGTTAGATATATCTATATTTTTAATAAATAATATAAGAATATTTTAGCTTTATAATTTAATAATCATGTTGAAATAACTATAAAATATATATAAATAAATGAATATTTACATTAAAAAATTTCTACTATAATTTAATGAAAATCATGAAAAAATTTATTGGATTAATTTATCTTTTCAAGTTCCACTCTATTTCTCCAACTCTTCTTCACAAAAAAGAAAAAAAAAAAAGAGAAGAAAACAGTCTTAATTCAATTCAATTCAATTCCTTCAGAACAGAGAGATACCTTTCAGATTCTCTCTTTTCCATTCTTTAACAGCAAACAACAGTCATAATCATGAGATTACAAATCCACAGCTTCTTCTATCTCGCACCATTAATGGCTACACTCACTCAACGAGAAGCTCTTCTTCCTCTTCCTGTACATCACGAAGGACTCCCCTCACTCAACCCTAATAATGCCCTATAACATTACCATAAGCTCCAGCCGCCGCGGCCACCGCCTCCGTGGCCGTCGTCTTATGCCTCACCGGCTTCCACAGAGAGCAGAACGAAACCGATTGGCCTTTCCAGCACAACATCACCCCCCCTCCTTCACTCCCCCGCATCATCTCCCAGTTCCCATCATACTTTCTCAACAGAGCTCTCCCCACCTCCAACACCTCCTCCCCAAACTCCTCCTCCCTGAACCCTAACCCCTCCATCTTCTCCTTCCACCTCTCCCTCCCCCCTTCTCTCCCCTCCTCCAAAACCCTAGCCGCCTCCCTTTCCACCACTCTCCTCTCCTCGCATTCTCTCCCCTTAAACGCCGCGTTTGTCGACTCCAAAAATCTCCACATCGCCTCCACTCTGCTTCCGAACCCTAACCCTAACCCTAAACCATCTCCTTCCCCTTCTTCCACCTCACTCAACACGACCAAATCCGGTTCCATCTCCCTCACCGCTCTCAAAAACCCCACCCCCGCTCTCCCCGCCCTAAACTGCGCGCATACCACCACTCTCTCCTCATCCCCTCTCCGTCTCCTCCCCGCCATCTCCCCTCTTTCGACTATCAAATCCACATCAATCGACTTCGCATACCTCATCAGCTGCGGTCCGAAATCGTACCCTTCCGGTGCCGAACCGAACGGCCCCCCCGATCCGGCATCAACCACAGTCAGCTTCACCATCGCCGGCGGCTCTCCCGGCCTCCGCGTCAGTGCTTCCAGCATCGTCGGCCACTGAACCCCATGCGAAACCCCAGCGTCGACCACGTGCAGTCTCCTCCCACCCACCGACGCCGATACAATCGCCGCGTTCGCGAGGCAGTTGGGGAAGGCGAACCAGGGGCTCACTTCGTGGAACTTAATTAATGCCGATCGGAACCCCTTTGGCTCCATGTCCGCGAAGCCGCCGGTGAGGCAGCGGGTTAGGGCTTTCAGGCCGTAGAAAGCGAGACGGTGGTTGGCGTCTCCGGTAGGGGAGGCCAACTCTTGCAGGACGTAGAGGAGATGCTGTGCTCGTGAAACGTTTCCCGATTCCATGGCGGCGGCTAAGGGATTCAGAAGCTGTTCAGCCCATCGCGCCTCTCTGCTTCCTCCGTTTACCCCTCCGTGAGTCTTCTTCTCTTCGTTTCCTGTTCTTCGCCGCTGAGCGGCGGGTAGGCTTGATTGAAGTTTTCGTTTTTTGGGTGATTCTGATTTGGGGGTGATTTGCTGGGGATTGGTGGTGGAGGGGGGAGCTACGGCGGCGATGTTTGGCGGGTGGTGTTTATTTTTGCCTTTCCTTGAGGCCACCAGTCATAGGGGACGATGTCGTCAGGGAGGGTGTAAGGATCGTCGAGGAACGGTGGGAGGAAGAAGGAATCTTCGAACCAGTCCATAAGATGACGGCGGCGGCGGCGGCGGCGGTGTAAAAATGAGAATTTTGAGCCGAGGTTTCTCAGGTTTCAGAGATTGGTGTAGAATTTGAGGGGCTTTTTATAGGTCGAAAAAGATGAAGGTGGAATCTTTGGAGAACGTTGGAGGTTTTTTTAGTTGTTTTAATTGTGGGGTGGTTGTTGTGATGGTGATGGGGAGCTTGAATAGGGCATGGCTTTGGGGAGTTGATGCAATTTGCTATGGGCAATTTTTTTTTAATCTTAGAAGTTATTATAGATTCAATATTTCTCCACAATATGCTATAAAAATATTGTAATATTAGTCTATGCCATAAACTTTTATATAATTTGATAGGGTATTGAAGATTTTTATTTTTTTAAATTATTTTGTGATGTTTTGGGGCTTGAGTCTTGAGAAGTTTTGGGGCTTGAGTCTTAAAAATAAAATTTTTAATCAATTTAAATTTTGAAAATTAAATCTTATGAGAGTACTCTCCATGACTCAATAATAACATAAAAAATTATTAGCTTGACCTTCATTAGAATCAATATCCTTGTTTTTTTTACACTCTTCTCACAATCTTTGTTGCATCGTCATCTTCCCAATTTTCTTTATTATCAAGCATTTTTTTTATTTTCTAATGAATAAAGTCCAATAAGAATTTTATTTAAAATTTAAAATATTGATTATATTAACTCTTTAAAATTTCTATTACATAAGTTTTAATTTAATATCTTTATTAATTTCTTGTTGACTTTGATTTTTAATGTTTATTCTTTCATAAAAATGTTATCATTGAGATTTTCTTGTAATTGAGACCATAAAACTCTATTTTAAACTTCCACAAAGTTTTCTTCATTTTTGGGTACATCAATATTAACAAAGTGAATGCCATTTTCTTTTAGCACTTTAATGCAAAGAATGAAATAGAGGCTTATTCCTCATTACATACAAGTTATGTTGTTCTGCACTTCTTAAGTCTCATATGACTGGTGTTCTAACTAGTTCACTTGACGGAACATCATTCAGATCAGACTTAAAAAGTTCAGAACATCATAATTTACCATTACATTTTATTCTGTTTTCACAATTTAGCAAACCTATTACGACTTACTTGATACAAATCACATCTTCGGCGTTGGCACCAGATTTTATAACAACCTATAACTCGATCAATTTTAGATGTACGAACCGCGTGAAACTTCATCTGAATCAACCTTTGATCATTGATGTAAATGATTTTTCGGCTGCTTACCTTTCAAGGTGATCTGAATAACTAAATAACTCAACATCATTGCCTCCGAGCAATCAAGGAACTCTCCATTCCACTAAAATGATTATTACATATATTACAATTTTCAGCTTCTTCATGATTCTGACCAAGGACCAAGCTTTCAATGAGTCAAATCTTATTGCTCACAAATTTGTGTCAAATGGTTCAAAAAACAGTACTTGGCTTGTTCGCCCATGTTCCTCCTTTCCTGCATGCAATGATTTAAGTTAAAGAAATACAATACTCTAAAAAAAAAAATTTCAAAATAAGAAGACTGCGTATATTAAAACAACAAAAATAATAAGACCATAATCACACAAAAATAAAGCCATAAAACTGCAGCAATAAAACTGTCTTCAACGGTACAATTACACAACAATAAAACCATAATAATACCACAATAGCCTTATAATAACACCAACATCTCTCATTAACAAAGATAACACGAGAATACTGTCAAGATAATACCGCGGTAACACTAAAAACCATTACCCCGACTTAAGTGCCAACATAACTTAAACAGTTACAACGACAACAACTTCGAATAAACTGAAAACTACTAAAGTCAAACTCCGATAAACCCAGAGAAACAAATTGTTCAACACAAGTAATGAGACAAATGTCAGAACTATTTCTCCGATAAAAAACTAAAGTAACACTATTAAATCAATTAATGAAATCTCCATAATCCCAGAGAAATGCCAGAAGTATCCATAAAATCAAAAGATAAAACTCTCACAAACCCTAGAACCCAAACCGCAACAATGTCTTTAAGATAAAAACATTCTCTGCGAAGCTAAACTCACTTGGATCTGGAAGTCGTTGTCGTTCTGAACGAAGCTAAACTCACTTGGATCTGGAGGTCGTTGTCGTTTTCTTCGTCGACAAAGCAATCCATTTCGACAGCTCCAAACCCTAAAGTGTGAAAGTAAAGTGGGGGAAAACCGGGAAAGGGCCTTATGCATTCAATTTTCCGGAAAAAGGAAAGTCAGGCCCGGTCCGACGTCAAATAATAGAATTTTTAACCTAAATAATAGTAGTGGGGTTGGATTCCACGTGGCAGGTTCTAATTGGCTACAATTTGCAAGCTTCCGTACGTTGCACGTATCGAATAAAAATTCTACGGTAATGTGGGTTTATACCCATGAGAGAATATTACGCGTGGTCATCCGCACATGCAGATTAGGGGTGTACATTCGAGTACCTCTCGAGTACGCTCAGAGTACAACCGTCTGTAGTTATTTTTTCTTCTACGAGAAGATAAGTTAGAAGGAAAATATTATTCTAATTTTAAAATATAAACTAAGTTAGAAAAATAAAGTTATTAATTACACACAAGTTATTAAATTGATTAAATTAAAATTTTATATAAGCAAATTTGATTAGCTAAGAAATTTATCTTTTGATTAACTTACAATATATTCAATAATGACATAAAGATTGTATTCTATAACATTTATTTTAACTTTATTTAATTAAGTCATTTATTTTATAATTGGTTTAATTGAGTAAATAATTAACCGGAGCTTAATTGGAACGTTGGAGTTTCTGGTTCTTGTTCTTGGTGTAGTGAGTCTTTTTGTGTTATTGGAGCTTCTAGTTTGATGAAAGTGCTTCCTGTTCTGACTGTGGAAGGGAACTTCAACCTGCTTCTGGTGGTGTTATGTTGGTTTGAATGTCTCGGCCTTTTCTGTTTTATCTAGATGGTCTTTAGGCTTTTCTTGTTGTTGGGGTTTCTTTTTTATGTTGTTTTGATTGATGTTGTATGTTGTTGATTGAGTCTTAATACTCCGGTTTTTTATTTGAATAAAGTTGGGCGTGACCCTCACTTTCTCCTAAAAAAAAAAAAAAAAAAAAAAAAAAAAAAAAATAATTAATTAATGCTTAATTCGTAGACATAAATTTACTATTTATTGTTTTATTAATTTAGTATAATTTTAGTTAATGATTAATTAACTTAGCAATTAACTAATTAATAATTATATAATAATTAATAATTTTTTAGGTGTTGTGATTATAATTAATATTGTTTTTACTAACTTATATTTTATTGAACTTTCCTAACATTTTCTTAAACATTTTTGCCTTATATTATTACTTAAAATTCTTACGATATTAACAGACTTGAATCCCTAAAAAAATTGTCACAGTTTTACTGGATTTAACTGCCAAATCATTTTTTAGATTTAACCATTTCATAAATCAATAAATTTGAATTTATAAGATTTACTAAAATTTGCTTGAGTTAAATCTCAAAAGTTTCCAATTAGTCCCTTAAAAGCCTCAAATTACATATATATATAAATGCATCGACTTTATAGATGTGGAGGGCATTGCTGATTTTCAATTGTTCTTATCTTGGCTTACTGTGGGGAGGCTCGTGGTTCAGCTTCTCACTGAAACTCACTACGCTAGCTGTATATAGTGTGTGATATAAATATTAAATATTTGAAATATAAGTATAGATTTGCTGTAATTTGGGGATGATACTGTGTAATTCCCATATATTTACATGTCTAACACCTAAATATTCATATTTACATGCATGTCACTCAAATCTTTAACATCACATCAAAAGTATCATCATCGCTATCATTTTATGGCCTAGAATACACTTTTTTATGCATAGGCTTAGGACACCGTTCTGTTATAAATGTAAATATTAAACTATGAGCATTAGATATGTAAATACAAAAGAAATTTCGTGGTATATATATATATATATATGTAAATTTTACTTTTTTTTTTTTTTATTGATTTGGAATTTGAGGGGTTGGTTGGTTGTGTTGTTAGTATGTTGGTGGGTCTATTAGATTGAGTAACTTGGTGACTTGTACACAGGGCTGTCAAAAAAGTTTGTTTTTGGTGAACAATTTGTTTTCAGTTCGTTAAGTACTTCGTGTTCTCGAATCTTTCATTAAGTAATAATGCCGAACACAGAGCAAGAGCCCCCTGTATTTCTGCAAGATAAAGACAGGGATCATCAAAAAAATACTCACTCAAAATATTTTTGTATGAGTATTTTTAAAAGATGATTGATTTGTTTTTAAAGTAAAAAGTCAAAATATATTTTATGATATATCTTGATTAGACATTTTGGAGAGAAGTTGGGTGACATTGCACTTTAAAACAAATCTAAAAATTCCATCCAAATATTCAGTCAAAATGAGTTAAAAAATATAACTATTAAATTTACTTTTGAGATGATTGTAATACATCTGCAATCAATCATGACTGCTGTTGTATTTATCTCATAATAAATACAATGTCTTTTAGTTCCATTCTAATTAAAATTCGGTCCAATTATTATTCTCGTCTTCCCTTACTTTCTATTTAAAACTTCTGCATTGATTTTCTTTGAGATTCGTGCCTTGCATGTGTAACCAGTCAACTTTTATTTTGCACGAATCTCAAAGCAAAATACAAGAATACTCTCCCTTTTTTTTTTCGGCCTTTTTTATGAATGCACATATTTTGGTTATTTTGTAAATTATTAGATATTTAATTCATTGTCCCACGAAGAATTCTCTCTTGAGCAGTGTTGATTATTATTAATTAGCTCACTAAGAGTGATTGCAGTGCTTCAACTTCCTTCTTCCTTATTTTTCTCAGGAAAAATTATTGCATACGAA